CTCTTCCCAGGAAAACCCCTGGCTGCAGACTGAGATTGATGGATGCACAGGCAGTATGTGGGAGTGGGTTGTGTTGGGCTCACACAGTGATCCCTGATGGAGAAAGCTCAGCTCGGAGTGGGACAACACTGGCCTCTGGTTGTTTGGATGTGACAAAAAAAACTCCACCCCAAACACTTGACAGGACCAGAGGATTGGGATTCTCGGGTCAGGATGCGAAAAACTAGCCAGGAACAAAACACAACACACGTGTTTCTTCCTGAACACCAGCAACACATGACACAGGTTTCCCCAAAAAGGAGGGCCCGAGGGGTGGGTGGCAGCTGGGAGACACATGCTGGTTGTACTCTGCTTTTCCAGAGGGTGGAGAATCCCTGCCAGCCAGTTCGGAGTGTGGTGACTTGCTCCACCCCAGAGGTGCTTCAGGTTCCTCTCCGGTGAACGAACCCAACGACCTTCTCACCACTGCTCTGGTTCCTTCAGTCTGAAGCAACCAGGTGGGTTGTCCTTTGGGTCCTGAGCATCCCTGGAGACAGTCTGAGCTCCACATCGCTTGACTTGTCCTGCCAAGAGCCCCCCCAACACGAGTCAGGGCTTCAGGAAACCTCCTGACGGCTCCTCCATCCATCCATCCAAAGTCTTTCCCCTCCTGGATGGGGCAGGCAAAAGCATTTCCGTTGCAGCTCCCACGTCCTGGATCAACTCTCTCCTTCCTCTTTTTCAAGGGGACTGTCCATGGCTCCAACCCCATCCACAGAGAGCTGGAGAGACAACAACCAAGCCGTGGGGTGGGAAGGTGGCCAGGACCAAGGATGAGCCGGTTGTCGACGATGCCGATTGTAGAAAATCAAATAAACTGGCAGAGGGATGAGGAGGAGGAGGAGGGAGGGATGTCCAAACCGCACCTCTCCTTCCCATCCCCTCCCTCCTCCCAAAAAAGTCACTGCTCTGGTTGTTTTGTAAAGAAACCAACACCAAATCGAGTCCGTGCCCGGCGCGTTCCTGCCCTGCCTCACATCCCAGAGAGGCTCAGCACAGCAGGAGTGAGGAGAGGCCACATCCAGAGTGGAGAGGCTGCCCAGGGGGAAGGGGCTGCCGGGCTGGAGGTCCCTGAGGACAGACGGGTGGAGCCCCGGAGGAGCCGCTCCTCCCCTGCCACCTGCGAGGGAAAGGAAAAGCGTCAGAGGGGGGATCACGTAATCGTGGGATGGTTTGGGTTGGAAGGGAGGGGAAGGATCATGTCATTCCACCCCCCTGCCTTGGGGACACCGTCCACCAGCCCAGGTTGCTCCAACCTGGCCTTGGATGCTTCCAAGGGATGGGGCAGCCACAGCTTCCCTGGGAATTCCATCTCAGCCCCTCACCACACTCACAGGGAAGAATTTCTTCCCAGTATCCCATCTAAACCTACTCTCTGTCAGTTTGAAGCTGTTCCCCCTTGTCCTGTCCCTCCAGGCCCTTGGAAATAGTCTCTGTCCATCTTTCTTGTCAGGCCTTTCAGGCCCTGGAAGGCTGCAGACAGATCACCCCAAAGCTTCTCTTCTCCAGGCTGGACAATCCCAGTTCTCCCAGCCTTTCCTTACAGCTCCATCCCTCTGATCATCTTGGTGGCCCTCCTTGGTCCCTCTGAGGATTTAGGGCTGTGCAGCCCCCAGTGTGTTCCCGTGCAGAGGGGCCAGGCTTAGACCAAGCACCCAAACTCCAGCCTGGAGGTGAGCTCAGCTCTGTGGGAGCTGCTGCTGAAGGTGGGGCTGTGTCGGGGTCACCTCATGGGCTCAGAGATGATTTGGGCACTGGCTGGAGGTGTCNTGTCCCCAGTCCCTCTCCAGCTCTCCTGGAGCCCCTTTAGGTCCTGCCAGGGGCTCTCAGCTCTCCCTGGAGCCTTCTCTTCTCCAGGGGAACCCCCCCAGCCCCCTTAGCCTTTCACACATTCCCTTTTATGACAAGGAAAGGTTCACTGGGAAACCACGTGGAAGCTCAAGGAGCCCCCCAGGAACACTCAGCAGCTTTTACATCCAGCTGATGCTTTAAATGGATTTATCGATGATGGGCCAGAGGAGAAAGACCAAGGAGAAGAGCTGCACTTGAGGACCCGCTCCATGGAAATCCCAGCAAATCCGGGCAGAGGCTGAGCAGAGGATTCGTGGTTATCTGCTGCCATCTAGTGCCACCTGGACGCCCAAAACCCCTCCCTGGATCCAGGAATTTCTCTTACCAGGCTTCAAATCCTGCCTGTCCCGTGGAACCACGGGCCACATCTTGTATTTGTGGCTGCATCGGGGTGGACATCTGCACATCCTGGGACCACCTCGGGTTCCACAAAGCCAGCAAAGAGACCGTCGGGCATCACCCCCAAATTACCATCCTCTCATGTCCCTGCTCCAAACAAGGAACTGGGTGGGACTGGGAGGGACTGGGAGGGCTGTTCCCAGCACTGCTGCTCTCTCTGCCTGAGGAAAAGGGACGTGGTGGATCCTTTTGCACCAGGGCCCGGCACAATCTGCCCCAAGAAAAAGGATGTTCAAGGACATCCTAGGCAGAGAAAGGGTTTCTTTGACAAGGGTGGAAACACCTTTGAGCACTTATTGTGTCACACTGAGCAGAGCCCCAGATCTTAGCAGCACCCTTGAGTTCAAACCTGTGGGTTTCTCTCAATTCCTTTCTATCAATTCCTTTCTCATCTGAAGATCTCAGATTTCCCCCCAGATGTGTGTCCTAGTTCTACCCTGCTGGTGAAGTTTGGGCAGATGGAGTGGCTGAACTTTCCCCACTGGCAGCAGGAGGAGATGAAGGGGAGTGTGGTGGCCAAGCAGGACATTAATAGGCAAGAACCCAAAACTCTGCATCAGCTTGAGGAGAGACCATCCAAAAAACCTTGCTGGTTTTTTGACCTGTCATCCTTCACTTTGTCATGGAGTTAAAGGGTCCAACACGTGGAGAAAAGGTTTTTCCAAGCACTTCATCCCTGCAGTGGCTTCTCCAAACCCTCCCCAGCTGTTTGGCCCTCCGCTGGCACAGTGGGCAGCAGAAGGGAGGGGATGCCCAGGAAGGGAGCAGGTTTTTCCCTCTCCAGCAGCTCCAAAGGTTCTGATTGTGTCAAAATTCCTTGGGAGATCATTAATACCAACGAGACCTTGGGAATGTTTAGGGATCAGCTCATTCACCTCTGGAGCTCGTGTGAGGACGATCTCAAGAGGTCCCTTTCAACCCAAATGACTCTGTGATTTTGTGACTTGTTATTAAAGGAAGAGGAGATGTTGGATCCAAGATCCCACGTGGACATCCATGAACCAAGAAAAATATGGAAGCACCAGAGATCCCAGGATCACCAAGGCTGGAAAAGCCCTCCAAGGTCCCTGTGCCCAATGCCCACCTTGTCCCCCAGCCCAGAGTGCCACGGCCTGTCCTTCCTTGGGATGGGGGCTCCACCACCTCCCTGGGCAGCCCATTCCAATGTTTAACAACCCTTTCCATGAAAAAATTCTTCCTGAAGATGCTTCAGGAAGACCAAAGGCTTCAAAGTAAAGCCTGATCATGAGAGTAAGGACAGCTCGGGTTAAGGTGGCCTTTAGGGCCATCCTGGGGATAATGAAACACCAGAACAGTTTCTTGTCCCTGAACCCTCCCTTGAGGGTTGTCCCTGAACCTACCCCATGGCTGGACACATCTCCAAGAGATCTGTCCCAGGTGAGGTGGGAACTATCCCAGTGTCGTTGATATGGGACACAGGGATGGACTGAACCGTCCCAGGTTTAAGGGAGTCCTGGGATCTGTTTGTAGGTCGTGGAAGACCTGGAGATCTTGGTGTCTAAAGGGTTCAGGGAACTTCTGAGCAAGAAAAGAGCCAGAGGAGCCAGGGGACTGTAGAAAGTCTTTGTTCTCGTTTCAGACCCTGATAGAGCCGCGTGTCAAGTCACAGGAAAAGTGGCACAAAACTGTGCAAGGTCAACAGCACCTTTGATCTGAGGATTGTAAAGCCCTTTCAAGACATGAGTTTGTTCAACCTCACAACACCCCTGTGAGGTAGGTTATCACCCCCCCCCTTTCCACACGGGGGGAACTGAGGCACAGAGAAATGCAGCGGCTCGGCCGAGGCCTCTGGACAAGCCGATGACACGGGCAGGAGGTTTTCCTGCTCCTCATCCCGTTGGGACAGCAGAGTATCAGCAGCTCCAGGAGCCACTGCTGGGCTTGGCCCACGAGCAGGGAACAGGCAGCATTTGTAGGGGGGGCTCCTGAGCCCCCTGAAAGCACCCTGGTGACCCGCTGGTGCCACCAGCACTTGAGGCATTGAAACACTTCCCAGGAGGCTGCTCCTTCCAGGTGACCCCAGGGTTGTCACCTCGTGCAATCGGACAGGAGGGGCAGGAGGAGCCCGAGAACTTGGATCCTTCATGGAAATGTCCCGATCCAAGCTGGAAATTGTGTTTCTCTCGTGGCAAATGTCTCCCCGGAGAGGACGCCCCGGCGTGGAGCTCTGGTGGCAGTGGGTGGTGGTGGTGGAGGAGGGGTGTCACCAGGCCTGGAGGAGAAGGAGGAGGTAGCTAGAAGGACATTACACTGTCACCAGCATCTTCCATCAGTATTGGACGTCCTCGTGCCCCCCGGGTCGCCCCAGCCCAGCCCATGTGCAACGTCAGGGAGAAACCAAAGCTGGGAGGCAAATTGGCTGGGAAGCGATGCCAGGATGGAATGTCCATCATGGAAACCCCACCTCCAACCTTCAGTGAAGTCATAGTACCAGTTTCCCCTCTCCTCCCCACCCCACCATCCCCAGTTTTTGTGCTGAATACAAATTCTGTCTTATAAAAATAGTCCTCTGGTATCAAAAGACAAATAAAAGGAGGGGAATGAAGGACCCCTGTGGGCAGAGCAGTGCAAATCAGGAGAGCCAGCTCAGGAAGGACGGGCTTCAGGTGGCCTTGGATTGTCACTTCTTGGAGGGGAAGAAGGTTGATTGGACTTTGATGGCTGGGACTGGCCTGGAGTGAGGAGAAGAAGAAGAAGGAGACAACTCTTTGAGTGCAAACATCGACCACCCACCACCTCCACCACAACCAACCTCCCACAGCTCAGGGCAGACAGAGCAGCTGCTGTCCCTGACACCAGAGGGCACCTGGCACTGGCACTGCCGTGGTCACCCATGTCCCCTTGCAAAGGCTAAACCACAGATTGCACTGGTTTGAGGTGGTTTTTCCTTTGGTGGACCCCGAGAACCCTGACAGGACATGTGGTGACACCAGGCAGTGACCAGCAGTGGGAATGATGTGGCCCAGGGACACCTACAAACAGCCAAGGTGGTTTGTGCACCACCAAGAGACATCACCAACTCAACCAACCCCATATGGAGCCTTTTCCCATCCTGGGGATTCATGACTCATGGAATCACGGAACGGTTGAGCTGGAAGGGACCTTAAAGAGCATCTTGTCCTGCCCTGGGCCAGGGACACCTTCCACTAGCCCAGGTTGCTCCAGCCTGGCCTTAGACACTTTCAGGGATCCAGGGGCACCCACAGCTTCTCTGCCCAACCTGAGCCAGGGCCTCCCCACCCTCACAGCCAGGAATTCCTTCCCAATATCCCACCTATCCCTGCCCTCTGGCAGTGGGAAGCCATTCCTTGTGTCCTGTCCCTCTCTCCCTTGTCCCAAGCCCCTCTCCAGCTCTCTTGGAGCCTCTTAAGGCACCGGAAGGTGCTGGAAGGTCTCTCCAGAGCCTTCTCCAGGCTGAACACTCACAAACTTTCAGGCGAGGCCACCCCAGGGCAGAGCAGAGCGGGACAATCCCCTCCCTCGACCAGCTGGCAACGCTTTCCTTGACGCCTGATCCCTCCCACCTCTTTTTTATTCCTTTCTCTCTCTCTGCACCTCACATTTTACTTTAATAATTAAATCAAAGCAGGTCTGACCCCCCCATACCTATGATGCCAGTGTAGGCCAGCAGACAGGCAGCGTAGCTCTCCCTCCGGCACCCGCTGGCAGCCTGCAGGGAGGGCTGGCAGTTGAACTGGAACTCTGCATAGCGGGACCTGGGGGAATCACAGCACAAAAAAACAGGACAGATCAGCACAGATTTTTTTGGAGGGAAAAAAAAAAAAGATGCAGCAGCCCACTGGTGGTGTTTGTAAAACCCTTTGGTGCTGTGGGTGTTCCTAAACCGGTTCGAACTGATATAATTTTACGTTTGCCCGCCCCAACAAACCCAGGAGTAGTTTTTGAGCAGGTTCTGCAGTTCATGTTTTATCAGGATTCCTCTGGAACTACAAGACAGGTCCAGCCTTGGGAGAAATGGTTGTTGTCTGCTGTGTGAGGCTGGTTTTTGAGGGAAGAGCTGTTGCCGGCAGGGAGGGAATTCGTTCTGTGTTTGTCGTTTTTAGCTTTGCCTAAAGAGCCCCAACCTTCATTTTTATGCTGATTTGTTGGAACAGGGAATCACCCCTGTCCAGTTTCTCTCTCTTTGAAGACTCTAAATGTAGCTGAGGTCACCTCACACCAAGAGGAATGTCCAAAGGCTCAGACACGGAATGTTCTACCCATCACCAGGGCTGCTCTCCCATCCTCTGCTGCAGTCTCCCATTCCCAGGAGAAGGTTGGACCCTCAGGAGCCTGTGGAGCAGGTAAATCCTGCTGCCAACCAGTTATTTGCCACTTAACTCTTTAGGAATAAGGCAGTTTTTGGCACATGGTAGTGTTTGGACACTGTAGGATATCTGAGACATCCACATGGGACTTTCAGGTAGGACCTGGTGGAGATTCAGATCCATCTGAACAGGCCTCCCATGGCCAGGGAGGAAGGGACCTCAAACACTGCTGACACCTGAAGGTAGAGCCCTTTTGGTGACAACCTGCAGTGTCTGAAGTGTGAACTGACCTCAGAATGTTTGCTCTGCCTGGGAAACCTCAGGAAAACTGAGCATGTTGCTCCTCCCAGACACCCTCTCTCTTCCAGATGTTTTCTTGGTGTTCCTGCTCAGGGTCAGAATTCCAACTTGCACTTTCCTGCCCGCTTCTCTCCTCCTCCCCAGCCTTCTCCTTTTTTTTTTTTTCCTCTTCTTTGTTCCCATATTTGCCCCACACCAACCCATTTTCTCCTGTCACACCAGGAAAAATCTTCCTGCCCAAAATGTGCCGCTTTCAGAGGAGGGAGATGCTGCTGGCAGATTTTATAGAATTCCATATAATCCGTGTCAGCAGAACCCACCCCTCCAAGCTGGGAAATCCAAGGGGTTACAGCTGGGAAGGAGCTGCAGGAGGAGGACTTGCAGGGCAGGCAAATGGAGTATTTTACTCCATTCCTTTATGATTTATTCCTCGTGGTTTCTGCACTGCTGGCTCTGACCAGGTCACACGTCAACCCCTTGTTCCTGCTGTGCCTCTAGAGGATATTTTACATTCTACATTCAGAGGCCAAGGGAGCAGATAATGAACAGCTGTGCTGGGGTAGGAAGTGGTTTCCAGCCTCCTGGGGGGCAACACTCTCCCCTTTGAACCTCTTCCTCCCCGCTGGGCCCTCTTGTCTTGTTAGGGAGAGGGCAGGACCACTTCAGATTCCAGGATCAATATCTTCCATTTCAGATTCCCTGGGTACCAGGGGACATCTGAGCCAGGGCTGGGGTGGCTCAAAGGCTTTGCATCGTTCTTTTTTGTCCTTCATCCACGTTTCTGGGGTGCATGGGAATATCTGTCCCAGTCCATCCTTCCAAGAGGATGTTGCTGCTCTCACCTCCCCTTTGCGAAAATAAAGAATATTTTAATTGTAATTTAAGGATGATGTGCTGGTGGGCAATGGCTGCTGGCAGTTCAGCTCAGGAAGTCCCAAACCCCTCAATAATTAGAGTCTGGGATAATGCTGGAGGTGTTGTCCTACACTTGTTCTTGTGCTTTCCTTCTCCAGGTGTCTGCTCAGGGCTCCAGCTGCACCCAGGGCACTGGGCTGGGACCACAAAGGTCGGTGCTGTTCTGGTCTCACATCTCCCACAGACAGATGGGCTCTGCTCCCGGGAGCTGTGTGTGGATTGGCCTTCTGGAATATCAAGGACTTTCAGAGAAATACGGGGGTGAAAATAGTACAGAAGAAGGAAAAGGGCTGTGAGTGAGTACAGGGGATGGGTCTGTGGGGCTGGGTGGAAGCAGAACAGCAAACCACACTGGCCACGGGCTGAGGGGTGAATCTGGAGTGACACTGAGACCCTGAGACTCCTGTTGCAACCACCAGAGCTTAGAATTATGGAATGGTTTGGATTAGGAAGGACCTTAAAGATCATCTTCTCCCACCTCCCTGCCATGGGCAGGGACACCTTCCACTAGACCAGGTTGCTCCAAGCCCCGTCCAACCTGGCCTTGGACACTTCCAGGGATCCAGGAGCAGCCACAGCTTCCCTGGGTAACCTGTGCCAGGGCCTCCCCACCCTCACAGGGAATATTTTCTTCCCAACATCCAATCGAAATCTACCCTCCTTCAATTTAAAGCCCTTCCCCCTTTTTCTGTCCCTCCATGTGGGTTGCTGTGGACTAGGGGAGGTGGACAGTGAGGAGATGGATCAGTGAAAGTGGCTGCAAACACCCCACCCCATATCCCTGCGTGGCTCACACCTTCCTGAAGACAGTCATTGCATAGGATAAGGGGTGTAAGATGTCAGGATTGGTGCAGACCATCCACGGATCAGGAGACCCAGCTTTGCCACCGAGACCCAGAGCGGGTCTTTCTTTAGGACCAAAGCCAAAAAAACCCACAGAAAAGGTCTAAAAAGCTCCAGCATGAACATCTCAAATTTTCTTCTGCCTGTTAACACTTTGTGTATGGGGAAAGGATGTGGGAAGGAGCCACCAGGACAATGAACTGTCAGTGGGATGTGGTGAGAGACCCAGCTTTGCCACTGAGACCCAGAGTGGATCTTTCTTTAGACCAAAGCCGAAAAAAAACAGAGAAAAGGTCTAAAAAACTCCAACCTGAACATCTCCAGTGTTCTTCTGTTTGTGTAAGATACAAGATTATGGATAATGGGAAGGAGCCACCAGGGCAATGAACTGTCAGTGGGATGTGGCAGGAGACCCAGCTTTGCTAGTGAGACCCAGAGCGGGTCTTTCTTTAGGACCAAAGCCAAAAAAACCATAGAAAAGGTCTAAAAAGCTCCAGCATGAGCATCTCAAATCATCCTCTGTCTGTGTCGCACACCCTGTGTATGTGTCCTTGTATCAGACACCTTGTGTACGTGTCCTTGTATCCCACACCTTGTGTATGTGTCCTTGTATCCCACACCTTGTGTATGTGTCCCTGTATCCCACACCTTGTGTATGTGTCCTTGTATCCCAAACCTTGTGATACAAGGATGAGGATCATGGGAAGGAGCCACTGAGACAACAACCAGTCAGTGGGATGAGGTGGGATGTGGGACCCTTCAGGTGAGCGCATTGGGGCTGTCACCAGGGGACGAACCCTTGGGACACGCCCAAGGGACACCTCTCCCCGTCAGCCCCAACCCACGCACGGGCTTTACCTGCAGACGTAGTTTTCCCGGCAGGAATCCAGCGGCGCCAGGCAGTTGGGCTTGTCCTTGGCCTCGTAGGAGCAGGCGGGGACGATGGTCTGGCGGCGGCGCTCGGCGCAGGCCGTGTCGTCGCAGGGGCAGAAGAGCAGCTCGTGGGTGTACTCGGGGGGCACGCGGTCGAAGAAGCGGCGCAGGGCCTTGTGGCACTTGGAGCGGTTGCAGGAGTCGGCGCGGGCCAGGCGCCGGATGCACAGGGACACGTACTCCGTGCGCAGCCGCTGGCACAGCTCGTCCACGTTGCAGGCCTTGGCCGCGTCCAGGCACCGG